GGGAGGTTAGGATCGAAAAGATAGTTTCAGAGGATAATCCTGCAGATGTATTTACAAAGTCCTTGCCAAAGTCAAAGTTCAAACATTGTTTGGAACTCATCAATTTTTCATTTAAAGAAGAAGAACTTCCATGATTTAGAGTCTAGGTGGAGAATTGTGATGTTTAGACTCTTAAATCATACTTTTAGTTGTAACTACTTAAAACAGTTTTTTCTGTTAGGTTTTTTTTGGTAGTTCGGGTGCTCTATTCTATAAAGCTTATAAATATGTAAAGAAAGAAATAGAATGGGTTGGATTCTCTCTCAAGAAAATACAACAAGTTTCTTTCCGTTCTTGTTGTTTTACGTTTTTGAGTTACTGTTAAACGTCGAACCTAACAAACATTTTGGACCTATGTGTTTTTAGCTTTACAAAAAAAAAAAGAAGATATTAACAAATAAAATATGAGTGATATTGGGGTCATTCTTGAATAAATGAATGTGATTTCATAATCCCTCCTCCTCTTCTGAGACCCCTCATTGGTTGAAAGCGTTCAAATTGAACATCATTCCATATAATGGACATGAAGAAAATACAAATACCACATTATAAGTGACACAATGTGATATGGTATATCAAAATCAACAAGAGTTTGTTAGAAAAAATCTCTACTCTTCATACCTACTCTTCCTTTTTTTAGTTTTACTTCTTTGCATGCAATTTAAGATTTCTTAAGCAACCGAAGAATTCTATGTCGGATGAAACTACTCTAAAGTGGACATATCAAATCATATAGGAAAGGTCCAAGACAATTTGTAACATCCTTAATTTGCAACATACTTTGTAGTGAAGAAATGCAAATATTGTAGTTACTTTTATTCTATTATTCAATTTAATTTGTGAAAACTTGAAGGTATTCAAAATTCTCAAAGGAAGTATTTATAATAGTTAAATTTGCAAATAGAGTGCAAGCTAACATTTTTATTTCTAGAATTTACTTAATTCATGATATATACGTAAAAATTTGAAATACAAACGGCATTGTTATTTAGCAAAATAAACTTCTATAAAATAAATACAATCTATAATTTAAAATAGTTAGCAGTTAGTCATATCAACATACTTCAAATTGATGTTTACAACATAATTTACCAAAGTGGTATAAATTCTAAATTTAACATTAAATGATTACATAACCTTATTATTTGAAATGAAAACTTAATAAAACATTACACATTTCAATAAATTCAAATACTACAAAGCAGTCTTCCTTCACAAGGTCACTTGACTATGATCCTAGAATGGATCAGTCATCTTTATTCCCTTCTCATTGGTCTTCTTGAAAATATAAGTATGGGTGAGTATTTCTCGCCCCACTGAATCTCTTATTCGACAAAAGAAAGATATATACATACATACATACATATATATATATATATATATATATATATATATATAATACCAAAAATATTATCTAATATACATTGGATTAACAATAACACTTTGAGCACACGCACAATAAATCAATTATCTTTGCAAATATTTATAACATATATTTTCACATTAATCTATATGTCAAAATACATATGTCCTAATCGCATCTATCGATGTATTATAACACATATATCATAACATCAATAAATATGTTACAACACATATATTATAATTATACAATTTCTATACTATTTCATATTCATCATCATTTCATAATCATTGCCCTTGGGATCCCTTGAGGACTTCATAGTATAGACAGTTATTGGATAGCTGCCCCAATCTGGCCCCTTTTAGCAAAAGTGTAATTAGTGGTTAAGGTCAGGAAATGAGTGTGAAACATGTGGTATCTTTTCCCTCTACTTTCATTAATTATACGCATTTCATAAAAAAGCATTTCATCAATCGCCCTATCTTTCATACCCCTAGTGTATCTCTGTGACTATCTATACTTATTTTCAATATTTCTCATATCATTCTCTTTCTTTCCCACATATATTTTGTAGATCAGCATATCATAATTTGTGAGTTATGATTATATAAATCAATATATTACAATACATGTATTATAGTACACCATGTATCACAATACCTATATCACAATCACATCTCTCAATCTGTTACGATTCACGCATTATGATCACACATCTTATAATTTTATGATCATATTACGTCATTCACTTATGTCTATAATACTCTCTCTTCATCCAAGAATATTCAAACATTTATTATCATTAATATAAATCTACCAATTTCAACACACTTTAGCTATTATACAACATCCATATTTATTATATCATCTAACACAGAAAAATCATCAAACAATTTTATATCACATAAATAATAGAATGTGCCAAAGATCGGACACCTTCGGACTTATCTCAATCATACAATCTAATATACACACTTAGTAATAATAAAGTCGTATATCCTATACTTTGGCATTATCCAATATTCACTAGTAAAATCATAATATTTCTCAAAAAATAATTCTGTTTAGAGCTTTTGCTATAAATTGTATTTAATTAGTTTTGAAAATAATCCTAAGTTTTTTATGTCAAAAATCTCTATTTCTACACTTTAGATTTAAGGAAACATAAATCCCCATTTGACCCGGCCCTAGCCCTATCCCATATAGCTCAGGGCCAAAAAATCCATCAAATCATAACCTAACATGTTCTTAAAAAAGTTAGATTTAAAAAAATTTGATATGAATTGCAATAATTATTAGAATATCTAGTAAAAATATTTTTTTATATAACATTTTTTAGTATAAACTTGTAGTTCAAAATTGCTTAAAAAAAGAGAAAGAAAAATAAAATTTATATAATATCAAATATTTATAATGATTTTTATTTTTAAATAAAATTAATAAAAATAATGATTATTATATAATTTTATAAATAAATTTTAAAATATTATTTGAGTATTAACTATAAATTTTTTTATATTATAAAATTTTTATATTATTATTTTTCTTGATTTATTTTTATAAAATTATTAAAAATATTTTTTTTTTCTGATTATCATATTTTATTTGTGTAAAAACATCTTATATTTAATAAATAAAGTTACATTAAACACATAAAATTGATGACAAAAAATAATATTGATAAAATTTGTTAAATCAACTTTATGAAAGTTAATATGTTAAAAAAAGTAAATAAATATCTTCATTGTAGAAATTATAGACAGAAAATTTTATATTATAAAATTTATTAATGTAAAAAAGTAACAAGTAAAAATAGTAAAAATTAATTAATATTTATAAATTTAATATTTAACTCATCTTAATTTAATAAAATTTATATTTAAATTAAAATAACTTATGTTTCTAAACTTTTATCTTAATAAAAAATTTATGATAAAACTTAATATAAAAATTTAAAAAATATATAATAAAAATAATACTAATTATTAAATTAAAAAATATAAAATATTTAGTTTTATTTTTTATTAATTTATTATTCTAAACTCGTAAATATACATAAAATTAAGTACACCATAACATGTATGTAATATAAAAAATAATATTTATATGATAAATTAAAATACAAACTTATATATTATATATAAATTAATAAATTAACTAATAATTTATTTTTTATTTATATATTAATTTATGTAAATATTTACTAATTATTAAATTTTAATTGTATATTAATAACTATATTTTTTAATAAAAATCTATCTATACCTATATATTTATATAAAATTTATTAAAATTAATCATTTAAGATTCTACATATTTATATTTATATTTATATTAAAAATAACCATACCATATATAAACTTAATCTATAATGAATCTATAATTATTAAAAGTTATTAAAGAATATTTAAATATACTAGAATTGATAAAATTTATTAAAATAATTATTATATAGTATTTTATAAAATAATATTTTATTATTTAATTATTGTTTAATTAAAAATATTTATTATGAATTCTTAATTAAAATTATAAATTATTAACATACTATATTAAATTTAATTAATAAAATTAAACAAATATAAAAGCTAAATTTAATTTAATTTTATAATATTATATTTGATATTATTTTTTATGATAAAATTTTAATATATTAAATAAATATTTTTATTTTTAAAATTATTTTTTACATTTTAAATATAATTTTTAATTCATTAAATAAAATAATTTAATAAATATTATAAAAAAATTATATAATAGTTATTACTTATTTTATAAAATAAGTAGGCTAACTCATCCTAATTCTGACCCTAACCCACTATTTTCTTTATTTTGGAGCTTAAGATTAATGTAAACCTACTAACTATAGGACTTTAAAAATATATGGCTATATAAGGGGCTAACTGGGTAAGACTCAGGCTTTGACCTATTTTAACAACTCTACAAAATACCAATTTATCAGTTACCAACCTATAGAGATTTATCATCCTTCAACTACTTTTCAATAAGATTTATAGAAAAATGATAAAATTCATCTGGTCCATGAATCTTGTAACTACTCATACTAAAGATAGCACTCCACGCTTCCTTTTTTAAAATGAGATTCAAAAAAACTATTTTACCTTCCTTTTGGAGTTTATGAAAGGAAAACAGTAAAAGACTAGCATATTGGCCATGAAGGTTTTATTTAGAATTTGACTTTTGAGAGAAGAAAAAGAAAAATTTATGTGATATTTAGCTATATTTGAAAGTTTTTTATAAGAGGAGAATAATTTATAAACGTTTTTAATCTTATATTTTTAAGTTCTTCCAATTTAAAAAATTTTGTATTAACTTTTATTTCTCCTCATTTCCCTCATTCTCTCTTACTTTTCAAATTTTTTTTCTTTTTTTGGGTCTAATCTCCTAAACAAAGTCTAAGAGAAGCACAAAATAAATTCTCTTAAAATTTCAAAGCTTTCGTCAATGCACCAAACATCTCCTAAGACGAGTGTTACATCATCAATGAAGATCCATAATCCTATTATAGTTTGGTTGAACATCTCGTTAAAATAACGTTGGGGTGAGACAAACATTCATGTGTTGAAAAACAATGCAGGATCAGACAAGAGAGCAGTGCTTGATTGGAAACGTGGATTTGAGATAATGAGTGGGGTGGGAAGAGGGTTGCTTTATCTCCACGAAGACGCGCCCAATTGCATAACCCATCGTGACATAAAGGCCAGTAACATCTTACTTGACCAAAACTGGGTCCCAAAGATCGCTGATTTTGGCCTCGCACGCCTTTTTCCCCAACACCAAACCCATGGCTTTACACGTGTGGCTGGAACCAAGTATGTATGAATCTTTCATCCTTCCACACAAGTCAATAGTCAACTAATCTATAAATATGCAGCGGCTATATGGCTCCCGAGTATTTGATGCATGGACATCTGTCTGTGAAGGCTGACGTATTTAGCTATGGGGTTTTCGTGTTGGAGTTTATCACCGGCCACCGAAATTCCTCGTTTCATTTGGACGTCCATGCACTCGATCTCCTAGACTTGGTAATAATAGTTTAACAATAATTCTTATTTTTCTTCCCATTTATTAGTATTATTATCATATATATATATATATATTTTTTATTTTTTTTTAATTTATAAAAGTTATTAACTATTAAACCTTTTATTATACTATTTATCTATTATATTTATTAATCTTGTTTATCACTTTCATTAAAAAAATAATTATTAAAGATAAAATTATAAAATAATATTATTTTTTATTAATTTCATAAAATGATAACAAAAACAACTAAAATAAAATTATTAAAATAATAAAAAACATAAGAGAGGGAATATTAAAAATAAATAAATATAAAAAAAAATTATATTTTAGTATAGTTATAACTATTATCCGTCATTTATCAATGTTAGGAATTATAGTTGTTTAGATTTTAACTTTTTGTCTACAATTTAATTGAGTTAGATTATTTATTTATTATTGAGTAAACTCACAAATTAGTCTCTTATATGATGACAGTCATGCATATCAATATTTTACCTTTTTTAAATTGTTTTGTCAGTTCTTAACATAGCAAGTCATTAGGATGTTAGATTCTCATATTAACTAACAAGTAAAAAAAACGTTAACTACAAAGCTTATATTTTAATATAATTATAGTTATTACTTGTCGGCTATCAATTATATGAATAATATCGTTGTTTAGATTTTGACTTCCTATCCATAATTTGGTTGAGTTAGATTTTTTTTTTATTAAATAAACTCATAAATTAGTCTCTCAAAAGGTGACATTCTACGTATTAGTCTCTTATTTTTTTAAAGTATTTTCGTAATCCTTTACATAACAAACCATTAAGCAGTAGGTCCTCACGTTAAATAACAGCTAAAAAATATTAACCTTTACTAACATGTCATGTTAAATAACATGTAAAATGTTAAAATGACATTGTTTCATACAAGTTTATGACTAATCTAATCAATTTTCATCAATGCCAATGTTGTCATGTCTAAGTCTAAGTTTCATCCTACGTTCTCAACTACTACTACCACCTCCTACTCCTCATTCTCTACCAGCTCCACCTCCTACAACACTGCTTGTCCTGAACCCCACCTCCCTTCTCTCTCTCTCCTCTGAATCATGACGTTGAGACAAGTGTTGTAACCAATGACGAATCTAGAATTTTTGGGTTGTGGGGGCAATATGTACAAATTTTATATCATTAAAAATATAACATAATATTTAAAAGTAAAAATACACATCATAATTGTTCTCTACGAGCTTTCATATTCTGGAAATATTGAATAATGTTTTTATTTTCAATATTACAAAAAATCTCTTTCTATATATATAAGTAACTAAACAATCATTCAAACATTTATCCCCTATGCGGTTTCGCATCCGATTCTTGATGATATTCATAGCAGAAAAAGCTCTTTCAACTGTTGCAGTTGCCACTGGTAGTATTAAAGCTAACTCTAAAAGCAAATAGACCAATGGATACACAACATTTTTTTTACCATCCATAAGCTTTATAGAAACATCACTAATCTCTCCTAGTTCTGAAAATGCATTATCAGAGCATACATCTATAAAATAATTTTCAAGTTGACTATCTAGTGTCAAAAGTACAACAGGAGAAAACTCTGAAGGATAAAATTGAGCAAGACGAATCAACTTCTCCTAATCAAATACAGAAAATAAATCTCTTGGATTTAAGCATGCTACACAAAGAAGCAATCCAATATTCACTTTTGTAAAATGATTATTCAACTTTTGAAGTTATTGATCAATTACTTGATAGAATAATTCAACTTAAAAATTATGTAAATTAGATACTTTTCCATTTTGCGCCTTATTTGAAAGGTATCACTCATATTTGGAATGACAACATTGTGCTTTTCACAAAATAATGAAACATCAATGAGTAAAGAATGTCAACCATCATCCCGCATAGCTTGTAACCTTTGTTTGGACACTATAACTAATTTCATAGCATTTACAATATCTTGATCACTTCTTTGTAATGCTTGAGATAACTCATGAGTAATCCCTAAAATATTTTTCATCAAGTGCAAGATGAAAATAAATTCAAAAGATTGCATAGAATTCAACAAAGCACATGCTTCAACTTTTTGAACTAAACTAATGCCATCTTCCTCAAGCATTCAAGCACATCAATCATAGAAGAGAACAAAGAAACTAGATTAAGTAATATACCATAATGTGAGCTCCATCTAGTATCCCTTGCTTTCTTGATTGTAGTTTGCCACGTCTACTAGAGATTTTTCCTTTTTCTAATGCTTCTTTCACCTTTGTAGTTTGACTTTCACAAAGAATATCTTGACGCTTACATGATGCTCCAACAACATTAGACAAATTAGCAACTAAATTTAAAAATAATGTAATTTCAACATGCTTTTTTGTTACCATAACAAGAGCTAACTGGAGTTGATGAGCAAAACAATGAATTTAGAATGCAAAACAATTCTCCCTCAATTTCAAGCTTTTGAGACCATTGAATTCACCTTGCATATTACTTGCTCCATCATATCCTTTTCCACATAATCTTGATAAGCATAGCCCATATTTTGCAAATAGTGACTCAAAAGCTGATTTTAATGATAGAGCATTAGTATTAGAAACATGAACAAGACCAAGAAAACGCTCCACAACTTGCCCTTTCTTATTCACATAACGTAAAGCCACAACCATTTGTTCCTTAATAGAGATATCTCAAGATTCATCAATCAAAATAGAAAATAAATTATCTCCTAGATCTTCAAGTATAACTGTAGTGGTTTCACTAGCAACAACTCTAACAATATCTTTTTATATTGTAGGAGCTTTTAACTTAAGATTTCCACAAGCATTCTTCAAAAATTTATGAATAGCTTCATTGTGGTTAGCAAGAAAATCCAGAAGTTCAAGAAAATTCCCTTTATTACAAGAAGACATTGACCCATCATTATCACGAAAAACCAACCTTTGGCACAATAAAAATCGAATGCAATCAACTATTGAAGTCAAATGAATTTGGTATTCCTCTTTAATTTGATGATACTGTTTACATATGGCAACATCAATATGTTGCTTTTGTTTCATTAGAGCTTCACAATTTCTCCATGCTTGATTGTGAGAACTATTTGGGCCTCTTACATGAACTTGAAACCTGTCACTTTTTTTCCAATTTGTAAAATCTTCTGTTATAAATGCATCACCACTATCTTTATGTTCACCAACATGTGATCTCATAACATAACAACATAAGCAATATGCCGCATCTTCCTTTTGACTATATTCTAACCAATTGTCATATTTTAAATGCCAATCTGGATTAAATTTACGAACAATATCCCCAAATTGCCTTTGTGAAAAATTAATTTCTTTTGGTTGACAAGGACCCTTTTGCAAATAATATCTCCTAATTTTGTCTCTATTATTTGGACAATAATCTAACATTTTTGGCCTCAAACCAAAATCATTAGGAAGTTTTTCTAAATCAAATTCCAATTTATTTTTTATTGGTTCTACTTCTACATTCATCAAGTGCTTGAGGAGAAGATGGTTATTCTGATGTTAATTTTCTTTTGAAAAATCTTTCCATTGCTAGAAATAAAATCAATATAATTATAATTAATTTCATGTTCATCAAAACTAAAATCAATAATAAAGATGATAATATTTTACATAAAAATAACAATAATAAATAAACTAATACAAGTAATTCACTAATAAAATAGAACAAATCAAATATGCAAATAATATAGTGATAAAAAAGTAACAAATGCACTGGAACAACTGTTGAACAACTCACAGCTTGTTGGATATAAATTTGTTTATCTAAAACTGAAGCTTTGACACAAAAAAAAAAAATCACAGAATCTAAGAGAATAAGAGCAATTGTGTTGCTGACTTATTGCGTCTTGTGTGAAAAGGAAGAAACCTTGTTAATATTTGAGAAAAAGCAATTGAAGTGAAAGAATTAGAAAGAGAGGCACGTGCACGTAAGATACAAAATGTGAGTTTTGTTATGTGTACTTAGTTGGCTTGTTGGAGAAGTTTTATGAGATATAAAACTGAGTGACATTAAAGTAAATTTAGTAAAATTTGTAGGCAATTCTTCAATGTAACAAAAAGTGATTGACGTATGTTTCTGTGACAGTATGGGGGAAAATAAAATATTAAAGGGGACATCGAAATATTATATATATATATATATATATATATATATATATATATATTAGTACAGAAAAGTCAAAATATAGTGGGGCAATTGCCTCCACTTTAATACTATTAAATCTGTCCCTGGTTGTAACTCTCCACCTCCTACACCACCACTTGTCCTAAACCCCCCCACCTCCCTTTTCTCTCTCTCTCTCTCCTCTGAATCATGACGTTGAGACAAGTGTTGTAACTCTCTTTCCTTCTTCAATGACTTGGGATAAGATGGTCCAATGGAGATTTCAACGAAGTGAACGATGGTGGATGGGTTCACGTCTAAGGAAGGAGATCTGGTGCAATTCGTGATGGGTGTGGGTGAGTATGTACATTTAGTTCTTGGTGGATGAGTTTAGGAGGATGGCAAAAACAACAACTTTGCCCCTGTGATTTGTGAGCTCTTAGTAGTTGGACATTGAGAAAGATGGCAGGAATTGCAACTTTGGCCGATCATGTATGAGCTCTTAGTAATTGAATGATGTTCCTATATTTTGGGTCTTGATGGTGGTTGAAGAGAGTAAAAGGAGCACACAGAGAGAATAGGTGGTGTGGTTGACTGGAAACATTATAGGTAAGGGAGGGTCGTAGATGGCAACAAAGATAGTGACATAAATAGTCAGATTATATCTTGATCTTATGTGTTAACGACGTCATTTTAGCACCCTATGTATTGACAAGTCACCAAAAAAATTAATGTTTCTCAAGCATCCATTTAAATAAGAGACTTAGCTATGTGACAGACTACTATGTCAAGAACTAATGAAAAAAATTTAAAAAGTGAGAATATACATGTGTATTTAATTAGTAGACATAATATTAAGACATCTTTCCATAGACAAAATGTAATGGCCAACTCAATCACTATTTGTTTGTTATGGTTCCTAACATATTTAAAAGAAAAAAAAATCAAATATAATTTTCTAACATCTTTCTTACATATATACTAAGAAAAAAGGAAAAATTATTTATATTATTTTAAAAATATAATAGATGTCACGTAATAAAGATATAAATGAAAATGTTATGTAAGCAATGGGAATAATAACTCAATATTTGTTTTTTTTTAAATTTTGTTTGAAAGTTTGAAAGAAGAGAAAATAATTTAAAAGATAAAAAAAATGAGAAGGGAAAAAGAATAAAAATTATAAAAAATTTAAATTTAAAAAGAAAATTAAAAACATGAATTTTTTAAATGTACTAAAGAATTTATGAAGGCTCTCTCTTATATTTAAAAACTCCTAAGCTAAAAGTTTCATCTAATAAACCTTTTTTTCCTTAAAACTAACCTCTAAACAAAGTTTCTACTTGAATATATATTACTATTTCATAATAAGAAATACTTACTAGTTAAACGCTAAAAAAAGTTTGTGTATCACATCATAAGAAATATGTGAAATTCTCTAGGTCTCAATTAAGCATGACATAACTTATTCGAGCATTTGCTTGTGATCTTTGTTTTCATCACAGTGTCAAATACCAAACATTCATAACTTTACTTTATAGTCTTTGCCTTTCAAGAAATTATATTTGTACATTATTATATAAAATAAAATATATGGTATAATGGAAACAAATAGAAAAAAAATTACAATTCTTTTTTTGTATAAAATGTGCATATAAACAATATAAGAATTTTGATAACAAATATCTTAAAAACATTATTTAAAGACTTAATAAATAATAAACTTTTTAAAAAATTACTTAAATAAATACATTGTCACGATTTTTAATCAAACTTTTAATTTTAAATTCTCTAACATTTTTCACAATATAATTCTTTCTTTCTTTTCTTATACAGGCATACAACCAATACAAGAAAGGGAGGGCCTTAGAAATAGTGGACCCTATAATGGCATCTACAGTGGTGACTGAACAAGTAGAAAGGTGTATTAAATTGGGTCTACTCTGCACTCAAGGTGATCCTCAATTGCGTCCAACAATGGGGCGTGTGGTGATGATGTTGTCGAAGAAACAAGGCTATATGGACGAACCAACAAGACCAAGAATACCCAGTTCTAGATACAAAAGAAGTGTACCTCGTAGTCATGGGACTTTTGAAATGTCTTCTACTATTGGAACTTCTGCTTACGATATTGATGACTCTGACTCATACACTTCTTATTTAAGCAATTATGGCACAAATATTACTTCTCCAACAGCATCAAGCTCCGGTACTGCGGAAATTGACCGACGAGGGAAACGACCAATGCAGGGGTAGGCTGTTTAGTTCTCTAATTGAAGAAATTAGGGTGAATTATTATTTCTTAAAATTAATTTTTGGTATCATAAATTTGTGTTGCAAGTGTTATAAGGACTAGGTTAGGAATGATGAAAATTGATTGTCAGTTTTTCTGATAAATGTCAAAAATCATGATTATGAAAATAGTTACAGATACCCTCTAAGATGTATACACCCAAAGAAAGATAAGAAGATAAAGATAGAAATAAATAAAAAGTATTAAATAGATATTGATAGATGATATAGAAGATAAGTTTACAAATCAAGACAATGATATATATATATATATATATATATATATATATATATTATTTTTATACGTTCCATATATTTTTTAAGTGTCATTTTTCAATTAAAATATAAATTTTATCTCAATGATATGTAGTAATCTTTAATGTTGATTTTTATTAGATTGATTATGTTAGAAATTTTATATTACTAATAATATAAGATGAGCTACATATTATTTATAACATTTATACAAGTTACTTATATATGTATAAACTTAATATAAGTGATTTATTTTTGTAAGTTCTTTATACTGCTAATAAAAAGTACCATGAGTTTAATAAGTAAAAATTAGATTTAGGCTCGTTAGGGGATAATGGGAACCCTAAAAGATCTAAAATAGAAAGTATGGGCATGATTCTCAAGTCACTAAGTCAGAACAATTTACTCTCCCATCAAAAGATAAAACATCTCATTAGAGGAAAGTCAGCAATTAACAAAAAGAAAGTTGACAATAAAGACTACATCTTTATATCTTTACTATTTAAAAACTAAATTCTAATATCTTTACAATCTAAAGAATAAATCTTAAAAAAAAAAAAATTTATCTAGGGATGGCAATGGGTAGGGTATGGGTAGGGTACTATAGTACTCATCCCCATACCTGTATTTTAAAAAAATATCCGTACCCAGCCCCATACCCGCATGGGTAGTACTTTTAGTCCCCGTACCCGTACCCTCTGGGTACCCGCATACCCATACCCGCCCCTATTACCCGCGCATGTCTAAGAAAAAAAAACAGTTATAAAAAAAATATGCTTATATAATTTTACCGAACAAAGTTTAAGTATAAATAAAAAATAAATATTCAAAGATCATAAGTGTTAAGTGTATCTTAAGACATCAATTTTCTAAACTAAAGTACTTAAAAATCAAACAAAATTACACACATAATCTTCAAGATCTTGTAAAACAACCAACTCCTAAACTTTATATTCCTGTATTGTCACTCTGCAAGACCTAAAAAAATAGCATTAGTTAATTATTTATTGTAAAGTCAAAATAGTATAGTTAGGCTATTTTACCTCTTCATCAGAATCAGACTCTCCAAATGACTGTAAACGTTTATCTTTCAAGTTTACATATTGCTTTGGTCCAATAATACCAATAGAAACTAAAACATACAAGTACATAATAAGAAAATCAATAATTAAGCTATCAAATTAAAATTAACAAAAATATTTAATTAAATAAATATATTAATAGAGTATTCAATACCTTCATTTTCATGTTTCAACCAACTTTGTGCGCACATGAGTGCTTCTAAAGTATCTTCATGGAGTCGAGAACGATGAGGACTCAACAATCTACCTCCTGTGCTAAAAGCAGACTCTGAAGCAACGGTTGAAATTGGGATGGCCAAAATATCCTTGGCAATTTTTTGCAATATTTGATCCCATTTGATTTCCACCACCCAAGGATATCAAAACTAGCACTTCTAGGCAATACCTTCTCTTCCAAGTAGATATCCAACTCAGACTTTGATTGCATATCATTTGTATCTTTAACAAATGAATCATAATCACTTAAAAAATTGTTAACATTAAGTATATCCAAATTCATTTCCGTCTCATTAGACTTTTCAGTTGAACTTTCTACTATTCCCATGGCTTTAGCTTGATAATCTTCAAACAACAAGTAGCATAATTTTTTCACATTGTTAATTTGAAAAGAAGATGAACTTCCATAGAGCTTGGGAAAGAAGTACTCTAACAACTTTAATTTATATCTTGGATCCAAAAAAATGGCAATTCCCATGATTCCATGTATAACAGACCAATATTTCTCAAATTTGGTTACCATTTTTGTAGTCATATTTCTAATAGCCTCAATTGAACAAATTTGCCATTGTTGCAGAGATAACTTTATTTCACAAACCAATGGGAAGAAAATATTTGTTGTAGGATATTGTGTCCCAGAAAACATCTCAGTCACACGATTAAAGACTTCCAACCTACTACAAATTTCTTTAGCAATTTCCCAGTCATTTGTTGTAGGGATACATGTATACATATGCTCTCTTGTTTTCAAACGAATAAAAACATCTTTATAAGCCAATGCAACAACAAGCATGTGATAAGTAGAATTCCATCTTGTTTTACAATCAAGTACAAGTTTCCTTGTAATGGAAACTTTGATTTGACGTGCTGCTTCCTTAAAGGTTTGTTCTCTTTTAGGTGTAGCTGTCCAAAAAGCAACACTACTTCTAACCTTCTCTATACCATCTCCAAGAATATTTAAACCATCTTGAGCAATTAAATTGAGAATATGTGCACAACACCTCATATGAAACAATTGACCATCAAGCATAAGAGAAGAACAATCAAGTTTGTTTAGTAACAAACCAACAAAAGAATCATTTGTACTACAATTATCCAAAGTGATGGTAGATAACTTTCTATCAATATTCCAATCTAGCATGTATTCAATTAATACTTTAGACAGAACTTCTACTGTATGTGGACATTCCACATATACAAACCTATTAATGTAAAAATAAATTATATACATATATAAAAAAAAATTGAAATAATGCAAATAATTACTAAATAAATATATCATATAATGATCACAAAAATTATACCTCAATATGCGACTTTGCATATCCCAATCATCAGTAATGTAATGAGTTGTGATAACCATAAACCCTTTCTTTTGATTGCTAGCTGTCAACATGTCTGTTGTTAAAGCAATTCTACTTCCAATCTTCTCTAAGAGTCCCATAGTCTTCAACTTTTCATTCAGATATATTTTGATAATGTCACCTTTTATTGTGTTTCAACTAGGAACCTTGAATAAAGGTTGGAGGCCTTCAGAATATGCTCTAAAGCCCAAATGGTCTACTATAGAAAGCGGATACTCATGAATTATTATCATAGAAGCAAGATCTCTTCTAGATTGTTCTGGATCAAAGTGATAATTACTCAAATAGGTGGATGATCCGTCTACTTTCTTTTGTTCTCTCAATAAGATTGATTGTCTTATATCCTTATATGCCCTTCTCTTACAAGTTTGAAAATGTTTATGCAAATGATTTGTTCCATCTGATCTTCTACCTGTCAGTTGCTTGTTACAATAATTGCATATAGCTTTTTCTTCCCCATTAATAATTTTTTTCTTAAAATGATTCCATACAATCGACATCTTTCTTTTTTTTTCATCATGAGTTGCATCACAATCATCTCCATCCACCGAAATAAGAAGTGTATCAGACTAGGATTGAGATTGATCTCTAATATCAGAACTGTCACTCGGTCCAGAATCATTAAGTGTACTTTTAGGAACATTTTCAGGTTGTGTGGGAGTAATGAAAATAATTGGAGAAGAGCTACTTTCAGATTCCTTTGAAGGAATTATTTCACGTACATTTTCCATTTGTTATTACCTATATCAAAGCAAGAACTTAAATAAAAAAATTTATTTAACCCAAGTCAATATAATATCACATAATTTTAATCACTAAATTTCTAAACATTTTGTATGTTTCATATAGAAATAATTTTTTTTTTAAAATTAATCGCATATCAACTATATAATAATTAAATTGTATTAGTCTAGTTAAACGATATAAAATAGTAAATAAATTTTTCTATTAAAAATATGAAAAAAAATTATTTTTATGGTTTACTTTATTGATAAATATATTTTTATGTTAATCTTATAAAATAAATTTAATTAGATAGATTTTTATATATTTAAATATGCATTCTTTTATTTGAGTAACATAAATATTTATATTAAATTTCTCAACCTTTTATTTTGCATAGAAATTTTTTTGAAAATATAGTATTATAAAATAAAATAAATATGACCTATAAAAGAAGTCTGAACTGAGTAAAAAATATAAGACATGAAATTATATAAAATAAATAGTAAAATCTTTATCTTGACTAAAATTTTACAAAAGCATCCACAAAAACTTTCTAAAATATAAAAGTAGGTTAGATTCTTGTTTTCTTAAATTATTAGTTCCTCCATTATAAGTAAAAAATTATTCAAACTATAATATATGAAATTAGAACAATAAAAAATAATTAGAAATATCAATAATAATTATAATAGAGTTTTAGGCTTACTTGTTGAAGACTTGCAAAATTTGTTGTACTTGATCTCTGAATTCTATAAGAAGTGATGGTGAGATCTTTCTGTAAGTTACACTCCTAAAGAACAACTCTCGATAGGCAAATTGTGGAGCAACTCATATAATTATATAATTATCAATGATTATAAAAGAGACCTAGCCTTGAGTAACATAAAGTATTAACCATAATTCCTTCCCATTATGGGCTTTTGAGTTAAGGCCTCCCTCACATAAGTAGCATAATAATAATAATAATAATATATGCGGGTATGGGGCGGGTGGGTACTTAGGTACCCATACCCGCCCCCATCCCCATGGAAATTTGCGGGTATTTCCCCATACCCGTGTAGCGGGTAAATACCCTACCCATTGAGGGTAAATTTTGCGAGTACCCATCGGGTACTTTACCCATTGCCATCCCTAATTATCACTAAATGCATTATATTCAATGCTTATAACAGCAGTGCTTTTCTTTTCATTCAACACGTAAAGATAACGTTTGCATAAAAGCATCTTGACCTTCACCTTGATTCACCTCACATTTAGTATTTAACTAATAGCAATATTTGCTAAAAAATATTAATCATAAAAACAATGTAGCTAACAAGAAGTAAAGGAAGAACCCTCTCTCTCACCGCCCATTTCAGTTAACGAATTTTACACAGCAGAAAGTTGACCAGTTTTTAACTTTTTGCTCCCCTCTCTAGTACATGTACTGGTGCGTACTACTGACTGCAAATGATCAAACGATGTTATATTTTGCCTTGACTCTGTGTCTATTTGGTTGTTAACTGTGACTTTTACTTTGGCCCAAAAAAATAAATAAAACGAGGAGATTGTATATGGTTCAGGTTTTGTGTGATGGTTTAGTCCATTTTTATTTCACATACAGTCAAACCTTCGCACACAGCCTGACTAATATCAACCATTTTCACTTTCAAAATAATACTTTATAAGAGTAGAAGCAAGGGTAAAAAGTAGAATGATACCTGTTTAAGTGTTTATCAATATCCATTAAGAGATCTAGAGTGAATTACTTTCAAATAAAAAATTATCTCAAAGAAAGCAGACAGTACAGGACTCTGATTACAAAAATAGATAGGCCTTCAAAAATACCATTTTAAAGCAAACTTAGTTTGTTCTGGGGGTCGCCCATTCAACTCTAAGGATGAGATTGTCATAGCCATATCCATTGAGTTTGTTGATAGCTCTTTGTGCATCTTCCCTGTTGACAAAGTTAACAAAGCCAAACCCCCTACTCATGCCAGTTTTCTGATCAATAGCAACATATACTCTGCTCACTGGACCAAAAGGACGGAACAGCTCCAGCAAATCAGGCTCTCTTGTGTCCTCGGAGAGGTTTGTAACCCGGACAGAATTCTCATCGTTCCTACGTCGCATATCTGATCCAGTCCTCTCAGCACCTGCTCTCATTCCAGGAGGCACATACGCTGCCTTGGTTGAACCAGTTGTGGCAGCCACAACATCAGATGCCGCAGGCTTATCAACAAATCCCTCAGACGGTGGGGCAAGATCCTTGTATGGACACCTTGAAGTCCAGTGATCACCTTTCTTCCCACAAGTCCTGCAGACCATGAGAACAGCACCTTTTTGAAACTGAGCCAACGGATCTCCAGCAGTCTTCGGCTCTTCCGTTTTTGCACCTGTTTACAATCACAGAGCTATTAAACGTCAACGGTAGACTAATCTTGTGATCCTCCATTTGAGCAACACTACAATTACTCAAAGAATCTTGAGGTACCTATGTACTATACTACAGACATTGGGGTCAAGTTTAAATCGACACCTTCATGAACACAACCAGAGTTAATTAGAAAAACCCATTAATTTATTTTCTCCAAAGTAGGCAGATTATATAACGTTCGTTTAACAAAACCACATTGAAAGGCCAAAATAATGCAACAAATAGACCCTTATCATGTCCTCCGGTGAATCATAAATTAAACATGCAAATAAAAATCATTCATCCTAATTATAGTTGTTTTACATTCTAATCCTGCAATCCAAGAATGGCACGAGCAAATAGCATTTAGCAACCGCATTAACACAATCCAGAGGCACAGATAATAATCAATTACGGAACTAATTCTAAAATTTCTAGTAAAATAAAATAAAAAAAACCCAGAATCCCTAGAAAGGAGACATTATAAGCAGTGGAGGAAACGTATTTAAAATAACATAAATAAATAAAAAATTAGAGAATGGAAGAGAGGGAGAACCAAGAGGCTTGGGACGTTCTAGAAGGATCTCTTCGGTGGAGACCATGGTGAGGCGGCTACCGACGTCTTCGTGGACGGCGTCGCCGAACTTGGGCCAAGAGCGTCTCTCAACGGCGCGTTTGCTGAGACGGGCGTTGGCGAGTTTGCGGGTGCGCGTGGTGGTGGTGATCTTGACCTTGTTTCCATCGTCGTCGAACTTGTACTCGATGACCTTCTTAATGCCGTTTTCGTCAGGGCCTATGACTTGCCTTGGCGGCAGAAGAAAGTCAAGATCTTCTCCATCGTCCTCTTCGAGTTCTCCCCATCGTAGCTTCATTGGTTCTCCTTGATGTGCCATTGCTACCTCAATAACAACAAAACCTCTTTCTCTTCTCTCTTCTCCTAGTTTTACCCTTCTTCACTTGAAACACTCTACCCTCTTTCTGCACAAATCAACTTGTAAGCTTGCTTCCGGCTTGTTTGGACCATATTTTAGGTTTACGATTTGGGCTCATTTTTGTAAGAGCTCAGGTACAAAATATTTCCTTCACCTACGATTGATTTTTTTTTTTTTTTAATTTATATACGATTTTGTCTTCTAATTTAATTTTTTTAATTTTTTAAACTACTTATCTTAAGTTTTTCTAAAAAAAATATTTATTAATTAACAAATATATAATAGAGATATGATATATTTATTGATTTGTAAAAATTAGTAAAATAAAATGTATAAAATATTTTAATAAAGTAAATTATAATACTTTTTATTTAATTATTTTATATGTTTTTTATCATCAATTTATATAGTTCAATGATATATTATATTTTTTTAATATTTTTATCAATTATTAGATAAAATTTTTAAATAAAATATTTAATTTGAATAATTAAAAAAAATATAAAGACTGAACATGAATAGTTAAAAATAGAGAAACTAAAAGCATGTATAAGTCAAAATACAAAGACTAAAATTATGCGTAGATTAAATTTGCATAAATCAAATCAAGTTCATTTTAGAAACTAATTATACAAACTAAATTTAAAATTAATATATTTTATTTTTCTGAAACAAAATTTTAAATATGATTTTAGTAATAAATTGAATATTTATTCAAAAAAACTAGTTTTAAAATTTTAATTTTTCCAAAACTCATTTTAAATATGTTGTTTTAACCAAAACTGGTTTTAAATCTAACATTTTAATCAAAATTGATTTTGAATTTTTTTTCTTAATTTTATGAAGATGAATTATAATTTTTCTATTAAAATTTTGAAAATGATTTTTTTTGTCTTTTATCTCTTTTTTTTGTTAAATAAAAGTAGAAAAATGAGTTTTCTTTACTTAATTTTAAAAAATTTTGAAAAATTAAATTATTTTTTGGATAAATAATTTATAATCCTTTTAGCTCTGATATGGAAAATTGCAATGGTTAACCTTATGGGTTATAATTCTTAAATAAGAGCATTTTCTTTTTTGTTTTCTAATTCAATTTTAATTAAAAATTAAAATTTTTTTTTTATTTTAAAAATTTTACCTATTTAATTTACTAATTTAATATGATAAAATATTCATTATTAATGTTAAATAATAAAATATTTTTTTACCTTATTTTTCTGCCATTTAAACAAGTGAATTTTCTTTTATTTCTTGTACTCTTATTTCTATTCTTTCAAACAACATATCTTACCAACTTTATTTCTGTTTATTCTAGTTCTTTCTCTTATATTTTTTTCATCTTTATTTCACATTTCATCTGTGCATAGTTTTAGGTTTCAATTTAAGAAGCAAGTCATTATTGTCTTAGAAAATATTTATTTATCCTATGAGTAGGGTAATGTACTTAGTGGTGCACCAAATAGGGTGTATTCCAACTACTTAATTACTTTGTATCCCTTCACTTGTTATTTTATCTGGGTCTTGTTTTGTGCACCTAAGGAGAATCAATTTGAAGATGGATTAACGGAGAAGAAACAAAAGTGACTGAACTGGCAAATAACTATTACCTTCTCCAATTAAAAAAGATGCCTCAAAATAATGACATTCATATTGCTCACATTAATTTCTAGTTTACTAAGAATGAAGAAAATCATGCTATTTTTTGAAGTTACAAATCACATGCTTTACCAGCGATGAGATATTGCAGGGGCAGCATGTCTTGAGTTCACCATGCAACTTCTAAAAGCATGATCCAATCACACAGAAAGAAAAAACTTCTAAAAGGTAGAGAGTAAAAATTCCTCACTCCTCGTATCTGTCTTGAATGATCGGAATCTGTTCCACCAAAAACAGTGCCAATAAAACAACAAATGGTTCAGATGAGAATGGCACATTGATCATATCTTTGAACTATCACAGTGAAAATTTCCAACTTAAGAACCACAAAATAGTATTTTCAAACATTTGAGCCACCAAATTGATTCTTTAAGGAGTTAAATCTTTATTGTATTATAGTCTGCCGATGTTTTTGTAACAAAATAGTCTTTTTAACATCGCATTAATCTTATTTAAGAATTAATTTGATGAAATTTCAATTATATTTCTCTCTAACACTTTATTGGTTAAGTTAAATTCTTTTATTTTTATCACTTTTTTTCTAACGTTGCCAATTTAATCCTAAAAGAATTAATTTGGTATATCAAATCTTTAATGTTGATAACCCTGCACTTCCAAAGAATGTTTGAACTCAAGAGTTGACACTTATATAAGGGTTATATATATGGAATGAGGTACTATCTTGATAGTAGAATTTTACCTTTCATCGTTGACTCAGCTACTAGAGATGATGCCTTCAGAGAGCATGTGCATACCCTTGACTAGAAGTTGTAGTAGCAAACACAACTAATCCAAGAACAAATAAAACTCCTTTAACAACTCTAAAAGCAAGTGGTCCTATGGAACAAGAGTTAAGAGAGTTTTGATAGCTTAAGTTGTCCATACAACATAAGCAGGAGGAGATGGAAAAAAAGAAGAAGAAGAAAGCAAGTTTAGAAAAATGTAGAAAAAGATCATTATTGATGTGATAACCTTCTCAAATGACATGCAAGCTTCAGGATCCTCAAACTTTGGCCTTATATTTTTTTTACCTAATTTTGAGAGCTCTTTACCATCAAATGACGTAAATGACTCTTTTAGGTTAGATGAAGATGATGTTGCCACCACCAATAATGTTAACAACCAAGAGTTCAACTAGTTTTTATTTAACTTTTTATTATTATTTAATTTTAGATATTTTTTTCATTTATTATATTTTATATAAATTTAATTTTGAAATTTCAAAGATTAAGAATACAATGCAACTTCTAATTATTTGAAATGAACCTATAATTTTTTGTTTCATCTTTATACCTTTTTATATTTATTTTTAATTTAATTTCAATCTTAATTTTTTTATAATTACAAATTACTCATACTAATACTCCTAATAGTTACGTAATGTTAGTAATCTTTTCTCTAAGCTATCAACTTAATAGTTATATAAGACAAAAAAAAAAAAAGTAAAAAATCTGTAAGTTTATTAATTTAATAATGATTGAAAGAAAAAATTAATCTTAATTCACTTAATTTTTTGTCTTATTTTATCTTATAAATCCATCAACTAAATTGAAAACATGATGAACAATTATCTATATTTTAAAAAATTAAATAATTCTATTATCAAAAATTATGTATACATATTTTAGTAATATTTGAATAATTATTCACATTATGAGTCTATAAGCAACTAAGTTAACTTTAAACTTGTACATGATAAAAGTGCAGAGTTGAGAATAATTAAAACTTAAGCTTGACTTATAAAAGAAATTTAAATTTATTCATTCATTTAAACAAATTTAAATTTGACTTATTAAAAATTTTAATGTTTGAACTTCTTCATTAATTTATTTATAATTTGTGTTTTTTTATAAGTTATAAATAAGGTTTTTTCTTAATTTACTATTTAGTAAATACTCTTATGTTAAAAAGTAAAATAAAATTATATTAGAATATAAATTTATGTAGATGATGATGAAAATTACTTAAATTTAATCTTAAAAAGTTATATTATAAAAATAATATATATATATATATATATTTAAAATTAATGTCACTTTTTTTTAAATATAGCTTTTAAAAATTAGAACTAGGTAAATAAAACACACAATAATAATCATAATAATAACATAATTTTTAATCAAATATATTACATAAAGTTAAGCTCAAATTTTAGTTTCACATTAATAACTTATATGTATATGTGAAACTTATAAAATTTAAACTTAATTTATTTAAATAATTAAGTCTAATTTTAAATTAAAACTTATTTATTATTTAAATAAATTTAACCCAACATTTAATAAATTAAGCTCAACTAATTCACAACAATTTCAACTTATTTACATGACAAAAGCGTACGACATGATTTTTTTTAAAAGAAAATTTTGGCTGCAATTAGACTCAGCTACCATTCCACAAGAGATCCCAGTTTGTGTATTAGTTTGACTCATGTTATTTCCTTGAGAGGAGTGAAGTAGCGTAGTTTTTAAATTTATTTATTTACTATTTGAAATTTATTAAAAGTTATAAATACATGAATGAGATTTGTTATATTACAGAGGAGGGACACATTATTTAATAAATTTTGACTTAAGAGTTATAAAACAAACTATGACCCGAGACCGTCAGAATCACTACAAACTCGAAAACAAATCTGAAAAGGAAAAAAAGGAAAGAAAAACAAATCTGAGACAGGCAACAGAGTGACCTGCACTGGGGTTGTGGGGAGAGTGAAGAGTAACGAAAAAATGGGGAGCATAACAGGGAGCACTCTCAGGCCCCCAATAATAACGAAAACAAGAATCACACCCCTCTCTTCCCTTCTCAAAAGACCCCACTCTCTCACCCCTTCTTCCATTTCCAAATTCAAATCCCTATCCTCCTCAAGACCCCACACCCCACTCATTCCCAAATCCTCCACCGACGATGCCGCCGCCGCCACCACCACCGTCACATCCGCCGCATCACCCCGAAACCTTAAATCCCGCCTCCGAAACGGCGAAACCCTTTACGGCCTCTTCCTCCTCTCCTTCTCCCCCACGCTCGCCGAGATCGCCGGCCTCTCCGGCTATGACTTCGTCGTAGTCGACATGGAACACGGCCACGGCGGCATCAGCGATGCGCTCCCCTGCCTCCACGCGCTGGCCGCTTCGGGGACCGCGGCGATCCTCCGCGTTCCTGAAACCTCCGCCGCATGGGCCAAGAAGGCCCTCGATCTGGGCCCTCAGGGCATTATGTTCCCGATGATCGACTCAGCTCAATGGGCCCAAAAAGCTGTCTCCTATTGCCAGTTCCCCCCGGCCGGGCTTCGCGGCTCGGCCCACCCCGTCGTTAGGGCATCTAACTACGGCATCGACGAAGGATACGTCGGTAATTACCTGGACGAGCTTTTGATCATGTGCCAGGTGGAGTCGGAGGAGGGGGTGGAGAATGTTGAAGAGATCGCAGCCGTTGATGGCGTGGATTGCGTGCAGATGGGGCCGCTGGATCTTAGTGCAAGCTTGGGGTACTTGTGGGACCCAGGGAACAAGAAGGTGAAAGAGGTGTTGAGGGAGGCGGAGAGGAAAGTGTTGGGGAGCCGAAACGACGACGTTGAGGTCGGGGCTTACTTGTCTGGTTTTGCGATGCCGCATGATGGGGCGAAGGATATGAGGTCACGTGGATATCACATGGTGTCTGGTGCTGTGGATGTGGGGCTGTTTAGGAGTGCTTGTGTGGATGATGTGATGAGATTCAAGATGAGCATGTTTGAGGATGGTTCCGAGAGTGACGAGGGAGAGGGAAAAGAGGGTGATGAGAAATATTGGAGTGAATGAGAGAGGTTCTTTTTTTTCTAAAAAACATTATTTGGACTTTTTGTAAATTAGGTGATGTAGTTGGTTGATGTGCTTTTGATATTTTAAATGTAAATGACTCTTCGAATACGTATTTTGTTTGGTATTTTTGCAACAAAATCCTCCTTGTTGAATTTGGATTTTCTTATTTTGCTTAGTAACATGATATGGTCTTGTTGCAGAGGGTGCTGACGACCATGGTGTTTTGGCTTCACTATTTTTCATATGGGTATAACGTGGGGAATTCCAAAATACATGCTGTGAAATTTACTATCTCATGCCTAGAGTTTGGCTTCATTTGGCATCGCTTGCTATCTTGTATGCCTCAATGAATCTGTGTGCTGTGTATTTATGATACTACTACTATGGTTCACAACTGCAGTATTGTGATTTTGGAAGTCTTTCAATGGCAATTGAGGCTGTATTGGCTGCTTACCAGCAATTTTTGTGACTGCAGTTTAAAATCTTGGGTACTATTTGTGAATGAGGGATAATCTTGATTAACAGGATGGGTTGGCATTGATTGAATTGATATGCAGATAAAAGCATGAGAGGTTGCACTTATTGAGATGCCAGCATTACAATTCTAGTTATCTAGCTTTTGAAACATGTTGGCACAGCTTTGTTAATGCATAATTACATAAGAGTTACGGTTATTTGACTTTTAAGCATAAGTTGTGGGAGTCTCAGTTCTCAACTCAGTTGCTATTCTGTCTCATTCGTAACCTCGGACATACTTCCGTTTTTTGTTTCTCTTTGGGTCTTCTGGTGACGATATATATTGCAACTTGGGTCTCAATATGATGGTAATTAGTTGTTCTCTTACTATTGGTGTTCTCTGTTTCTCAATTGTTAAACAAGACATGGTGTTATGATATTTATGGTTAATTTGCTTCAATTGTCATGGTTTTCGAGGGAGAAGGGGCCAAATAATTCAAAATCATTGTATTCTTATGTATTATTTTGGTTGTTAGTCTAATTATGGCATTTCCTGTTGTCATCAGTATTTCCTGTTGCCTTTGTGAAACATCAAACAAGCAGGCCACGCTTAGAGAAGTTAGAGTCACTCCTTCAAACAAGCTAAGCCTCCTGATTGAACCTGCGGTGGCCGAAAAGAAAAGAAAATTGTAACAGGTGAGTCGGAGCGGGTATCAGATTAAAATGGGTATATACGGACGGATGCCATTTTGTATTTAATTTTTATAACCGATCCGAACCGAAAAATGCATGCCTATGAGAGCTGAATCACACACAAGGACAATCCATGACAAAGTAATTTCATTTTTCGAAAGAGAGTCAAATGATGACCCTGTACTATGCCCACCTTTTTCAATCTTCATAGCTTCTTAGTTTAACCTCGATCAGCATCTCATTTTCAATAGCTTAACGTTTCAATCAACAAAACTTCGCCAATTCAATCTCTATTTTTTAATAGTAAAAAAATATCTAAATCATTCACCTCGCCATCATATCTAGAGATTTTTACCGGTCCTTTCCAACATTTTATGTTATTTTTTCACTTCTGTCAAGGAAGGATGTTCATATCCACATGTTTTTCAAGCTTTAATGCTCATTTTTGTTGCTTTTTCTCCTCCTCCGAACTGAACTATCTTTTGTTTTCTTGCTCCACTCAGACCAGGCTTCGTTAACTATGACTTCTATTCTCTGGTCAGATATAAACTTCTCTCACACACTCAATAGTTGTTACTTTGCTTTGTTACATCTAAAAATTAGAGAGAAAAACACTAACATCACAAATATCGTTCAAATGCAAATTTCATAAAATATGAGAGGTCAAATTTAACATATTTGTTTTAGTTAAAATCCGTTTAAATTCACCCGCTCAATCTACTCACCATCTTAACCGAGATCTGAATAGATATTACGAAGTCCATCTCTACTAAATATTTCAAGAATATTTCACGATGTTATTTAACTTGATAAAAATTTAAATCTTTTAACAATTATTTTAAAGTTTTTTTAGGTCTTTTTTAATATTTTTTCACGAGATAAAAATCATGTCATCTACTCTCTCTTCGTTGATACCTCCAATGATTTTCTTCACATGTGTTTAATTCACGTTAATATATATATATATATATATATATATATATATATACTTTTTTATTTTATCTTTTCTTGTATGATTACTTGTTTATTTTAATGTTTTTATTTTAGTTAATCGTATAGTAATACAATAATTTTTTTTTAATTTAATAAGTATTTTATGATCACAAATAACTATTGATATTTTTTTTTTTAACTTTTATCTATGTAATTTGTATTTTATGAGTAATATTTTCATTAATTTTTTTACTATTTTTTAATTCAATTCTAAATACTTAAATTTGGAAACTCATATTATTACACAGTCTAATTTTAACTTTTAGTGTATACAAGTTAAGTTAAATTAATAGAAGCATTATAAATTATGAAAATAATGGATAAATAAATTAGTAAAATTCATTAAGGTAAGAAATAAAGGTCTGGTTTTGGATTTCTACTCTACACTTGGGGAATTTTGTTGAAATTTTGGTAGCCTCTGAGTGACGATTTTTGCATGTATATAATTAAAAAAGAAAATTGTTCTATATGTTTTTCTTGAAATGTGCCTAATGGATCACATTAGGTGTCCTAATTAAGTAAAGGTATTTGTAACATGTGACATTGAGATTGCTAGTACATTAGAAAAGGTGATTGAGAATTGGTGATAAAACATGTAAAGAACCGTGAATACTAATTTTAGAATAAGAACATTTTTAAGAGTATCATGAAAAATGTGAGTCTTTTAGGAATCTTTTTATATCAAGTGATTTTTTTTCGATATATATATATAATCTAATATTAATTTACATTTTAAAATTTTTAAATATTAAAAATTATAATATTTAATTTAGTAAATTTATTCAATCTTCGTTTTTCTATGTTTCAATTAAGTGATGGCATCGGGACGGGGCGGAGTTGGATTTCCCTCTGCTAGTCCTTGATCTGCACTCCCCATTATCAAACCCAACCTTGACTCCATCTTTGTCAATGGTACTACACTATATATATTTTTCTTCTTCTATTTACATGTATTTCAATAGCATTTAAGCTAATATACGCATGTATATTGGAGACGGCGAGTTCAGGAGCAAGGCAGATATCATGATATTAATTTTTTTCAACAACTTTTCAGTATTATGGGTTCATTTACGAATAAGTTATTATAAAATAATAAAAATGCATATTTTTATCTAAACCCAAATGAAAGAAAATAAAATATACTTAATATGTTAAATGAAGAATATATAGATAACGAGTTTGTTTGTACCCATCCCTACCCGAGATTGAGACAGATACCAAGCTAATTCCATTTAGTGTTTTACATGGACAATTAATATTACACAAGAAGCTCACTAAAATCTACTATATGCTATCCAAATCCATCATTAATCACTCTTAAAACATTTCCTAATTTTTGTTGGGTCTCTATCTATATCACCTTCGGCTTGTGCTCCAGCTTGTGAGTGGTATTCAAGTCAATGTGAACAAACGCTCTCTCAATTTCTGGGAGCCTTTCAAGCTTATCTTGAAGTGTCTCTCCAATGTCATGTGCTTGACTAAGTGACATTTCTTCTGATACAACTATGTCTACCTCTACAAAGTAATTCGACCCAAATGTGTAGGCTCTCATTGTATCTATGTGCTTGATCTCCTTGTGATGGTTCCAACATAGATATGTTAGCTTTGCAAGGTACTCCGGTGGGGCTGTTTTACCAATCAATGACCACACATTCTCCATGACTGTTTTGGCCCAGTTACTAATCGTATATAGAGCTATCTGCATAGTTATGATGTCATAGCTTTGCATTATTATTTGTAAAATAGAAAAAAAAAGTACTTATAAAAAAACTGATTCATTTTACCACTTAACTTTTCACTTTTATAAATATTTATTGAGATATTTATCCAAATCGGACCATAATATTCAATACTTACATAAATCTCCTTAAATTCATAGGACATAACACTTGGAAAACAGAGACGGCATGAGATATAAAATATAATACAACATTGGCAAATATACAGTAAAGTTTTAAAATCATATGACATGATATGTTATATACAATCCATAAAATTAATCTGAAACTAACATAAAATAATAATTTTGAAGTATAAGAGAGAATTTTTATTTTCAAAATGAGTATAAATCATTCTAGACATAATAAAATGTTAAATTAATCTAATTATTATATCATTTTAATTAGTATTAGTATAAAATTTAAGAAAGCATTATAACAATGCAATAAAAAGTAGTTGAAGTGTCAATTATTTGACGTAAATACATATTTAACACAGTTATAATATAATATGACTATCACTTAAAATTCTTTGTGCTTCTAAGTATAACACCATGTACCTTTCCCATTAATATAGATCTCTTGATTGATTTCATATGAACTGAGAGAAGTCAGTCTAACTATAGAAAAGGAGTACAAAAGACAGGTTCACAATAATTTATGGACAACTATAACTCTTTTTTGACATATTTTAATATACGTTTTGATATATCTTATTTAAATAAATTGTTATAAAATTTTCTTAATAAATTTTATATCTCAACACAAACAAGATATAACATGTTAAAGATCTAAAAGGGTTAGTGCAATTTGTTAAAAAGAGTTAAAAAAGGACGAACCAGGATGGCTCCAACAGGATCAAGCCACCAGTAGAATTTGATGGCTAGTACTGCTGTGGCAAGGCCAATTGAATTTGTTATGACATCGAAGAAATGGTCCTGAGCATAGGCTCTCACTATTTCATTCTTGAACCTGCGACAATAAGTCATGAGCAAAACTTTCACCAAAGTGGCTGTGACCATAATCCCTATCATCCACTTTTCTTTCACTGGATCCCTATCAGGTTGAGACTGTCAATAAAATAAAGCACAGATTAGCGCATATGTAAAATAAAGCATAGAATCTATAAGGCATAAGCTATGCTTTACATCTATACCTTTGCGATGAGTTCCCTCGCTGATTCAAATAATATTTGTAATCCCAGAGTTGCCATGACTGATGCAAATACAACTATCCCCTGTCAATATTTTGCGCACACAAAGCAAATGTAAACAAAATTTAAAATTGAATGAAAATCTTCACCATATACGTGCACAATTGAGAAAAATAAATTGTATGTCGAATAACCAAACATTTTAATAAAAACAATGTCTACGTTAGTGATACTCTTAAGAGAAAATGAGATATAATGGATGATCTAGCAGTGATGAATTACATATATTATTTACAAGTTAGGATTCATTCACATCATGTATTAAATTTAAATACTTATATTGCTTAATAACTTTTTATATAACATGAGATTGACCTATTAAATTGTTGCATAAATTTATAATATTTATATATAAAATTTCATATAATTTAAATATTTTTAAAATTTATTATTCAAATTTTGATAATTATTACGTGTTAAAATAAAATAATATGATAAAATACATATCAAATTTGCTTTTATGTCAATAGTTGAACTAGTCACCAACCACTATCGTATTCTATAAAAAAATTATTAAATAATATAAATTTTAACGCTAAATGTTAATAGATTTCTCTTTACATACATATAGTGAGAATAATTCTTATTATAAGATTATGAGAACATTAAATTTGAACCATATAACCATACACGAATGATTAAAATTAAAAGTTTAGCAGACATTTCATGAATCTTAAAAAAGTCACGCATATACTTTAAATTTTTTTTTAAAAATTGGAAACGAAGCTATCATTCTTATAATAATGAAAAATACGACCGATTCCACCCTGCTTGAATGTATTCAACTCCCAATACGTCAAAGAAATACCTAAATTCGTTTTTTTAATCTCTAAATCAATTTTATCATTCTATTTTTTATTGATCTTTTGAGAAATAACATCACACATGGTTTACTCTAGTTTTTATATTAAAAGTTTAACGTGATCACTATTCTTAATTCTTTTAAACTCACATGTAAAGTTTTTAAATTTTCTCAACTAGACATTCACAATAGATCTTATAAGGGGAAGACGAAAGGGATAAGAAAATAAAAAAAAAAGTAAGAAAATGCATTAAAGCGATGATGTACCATAACCCACACTCCATATTTCACAATTAAACAACTGAATTAACTTAAGGAATTAAAACAGAAGGATGAACTCACTTGCTACTACAGTTAAGTTTTCACTCTAGGTTATTGTATTTAACTTTATACCTTTGTTTTGGCATCTTAATTTCTATCATATGTTTTTTTTTTAATGTAAAATATGAGAAATTGTCTTGCTTCTACGACCCAAAATTTGTGGGTCAGTCACCGACAAAGTCACATATGTAATTTTAATTTATTAAGAACTAAGTATTTGGCATGTAAAATGTTAATGACATATTTAGAGATGAACTGTGTATTAAACCCCACATATGACAAATTTTCTAAGTTATGAAGCAACTAGCTAGAGAGAGCAAACCAGTGATAAGTTTTAGTGAACTATATAGAGGCACAACCATGAGAGACTGCAGGAAATTTAATTAATCATTCAATTCCTAATTTACTAAAGAATCTTAGATTTAAAATAAGTGTCTTCTAAACAAAAGAAGCAATTACCACAGGTTGCATCCGGTTCTTGCCAATGGGGTATTGATAATGATTTGGTTTGCTCATAGCATAAGCAGTGAACCAAAGTATAAATCCCGACAAGAGATCCAAGAGTGAGTCCAAAGTTGATGCAATGACAGCCAGTGATCTACTTTCAATGGATGCATACACTTTTGCTACAAAGAGCACCATGTTCCCTATGTTAGATGCATATATTGCCACCTTCTCACCCCTTTCAAGTTCCTTCAACTCATCCTGAGAATTATTTTTTCCCATTCATATATACATGAAAACTACAATTTTAAAGAAAAAAATGGCAATAAATGAGTGAATTCATCTTTTCCCTCATACCTCAGTTAAATTTTCAGGTAACATGCCCAAGTCAGTGTACGAGTCCACTTCCTGATACCCTTTAAGAAGCCTTTCCTGTCTCTTGTAATAATCAGTAAGTTTCCTTTGTCTCTCTGAGAGATAAAGATACAAATTAATACTATCTTAGAAAAGAAAAGGGCAATTTGAAAGGGAAAAACAATAAAAAGTAAAATAACAAAGTGATCAATTTATATTATATACTGAGTGTCCTTAGGAAGAATCCAAAGCCAAAATGAGAGTCCATATGCCTTTCTGGTAAGCGATGCTGATCCATGTTGATCCTCCATGAAGGTTGCCTAGCCATAGACACATTCTCTGCAGCTATTGTTGGAGAAAGAAGTTCGGTCCTATAATCAGTGGAATCAATTCTAAGTTCAGTTCCCATCTTTGCCATGCTTGAATTCTAAGCATTTGTTTCTACTTTATATATACATATACTAGTGTAGGTACCGTGAGATACACGGTTTTTTAAAAGGTTTTAAAAAATTATATTTTAATTATTAAATTGAATAATAACATATTATTTTATTATTAAATAGATTTTTATTGTCAATAAATTCAAATACTATATCAATAAAAGTTATCAATAAACAAGTAATTGTTGTAAACTAAATATTAGCAATATCTTAAAATATGCATTGTCTTGTATCAAATTAGCAAACATCTTATGATAAACAATATTTCTTCAAATGTTCTTTTAAGTGTATATGTGTATCAAAAAACATTGTTATATAAACACTTATAAATAAATATATATTTCATTCATAAATAAGTTAATTAAAAAATCATAACATCTAACGGAGAGAGAAAAAAAAGAGACAGAAAAACATTTTAGAAAAATAAAACAGATAAAAAATAATTAACTCAATTAATTGACCGAAAACAGATAATCATAAATATAAATATATTAATAACGTAGGTTCTGTTAAAATATATTTTTAGAAAATTTTTATAAGAGAAAAATTAGTATAAAAAATAATAAAATTTCTCTCGCACAGGTTAGAAGCAAGTTATTTATTTTTAAATAAAAAAACAAAAACATAAATTATTTTCTACTTATAAAGTCATTTTATTAACTTTTTTTTTACTAATTTTAAGTTTTAGAAACAAATTTTTAATACGGAATATTACAATGACCATGGAAAGAATAATTAAACTGAAGAAAGCATGGGCAATGCCTGATTATTGCTCCGATGTCATGAACCATATCACTAATATAATGTATCTAAAGAAGTTGACTTTGATAATTGAAGTAGTCTATATTAATATGAACGGAATCCACTTTAGGAATACTTGCGTGGTTCTCAATTTTATTTTTATTTTTATTTTTATTTTTATTTCTTTTGGTTTAGAAGAATAGAATATTCAACTATTAGTACTATAACAAAACATTTCAATTTTGTGCTTTGTTTGTGGTGCAACTGGTCAATTCTCCCAGTTTCCAGGAAATACCCAAACTGCTAATTAATTAGAATGAAATGGCCGTAATGGAATTAATTTATATTGCTTTTCACAAGTATTCTCCATTAAGTGGTTTCTTTATTTCCTGAAAAATAGAATGATCTATTTACATTATAACATAATATTTCACTCCTCTAAATAAAGGTTATATTTTTTATATAAAAAAAAAAGATTTAATTGCATTTTAATTTTTTAATTTACATATAATTTAATTTTTTACTTTAATTACTAACATTTAATCCGGTAGATTCTTAATTATTCAAATTATGTTTATCATTTTAAATTTTTGTTTTATATATATATATATACACGAGGCATGATATTCTCACACTAGTGTAAGTCAAAAAAATTCTTACACTTGATCTAAGCCTTTCATTTAACTTACGTTTAAGAGTCAATGAAGTAATAAATTATAACCCGTTAAATGTAAGTTAAATGAAAGACTCAAATTGAATATAAAAGTTTTTAGAATTACATTAGTGTGAGAAGATCTTGTTCCAATATATAATACCTAAAAAAAAGTAATAAAATGTAATAAGAGTCTGTTTTACTTTTTTTAAGTTCAATAAAATTTTAATTTTTTTTATAAATTCCTATAAATCAAAGATATATCACATCTCACTATGTTAGATTAGACTTCATAATTTACAAACTTATAAAGCAATTAATAGAGAAAGAGAATTGACATCTAAAAAGCACTAAAAGCACTTAGAGAACCATTATCATAAAATCGTTCTATAAAACTTACTTAAAAGAGCATTTAAAAATTAACTACTTTCTAAAACTCCTCATTTAGAGAGCACTTGACATATGAATTAACTCTTTTAAATTGAAAAATGTTTTGAAGAGCATTTCACGTGTAACTGTTCTTCAAGTTAAATTTTTGTAAGCAATTCTTTGTTGACTACCTTAGTTCTTTGTTCACATCTTTGTACCACCGTATGTGCTATCGATGTAGTGATTATCGTATGCCAAATTATCCATTTGCATTGTCTACTTATACTTCTTTGTTTTCCATTTATCTCAATTGTAACACCCTCAATTTTTGTACCCTTGTGTGGGATACAATATAGAAATTTTGGTGCACAGTTTCTCGCTCAAGCGAGATAGGTCTCGCTTCAGCGAGATAGAACTTTGTAGAAAAGGGCGTTCTGGAGCTTTATCGCTCAAGCGAGAAATGTAACACCTTAAATTTAATTTTAAAATAATAAATTTCACAAAATAGGAATAGTAAATTTTTTATTTTAAATAGACTTTCCCAACGCATAGCTTCGACAAGATATTTTAAAATAATAAGGGTTTACCAATTTTGATCAAGTAACTGCTACATGACTAATCCAAATATATCATATTTTCAAAATAAAATCTAAGCCCTATAGCAGTATCATCAATTCTTTCACTTAGCCCAGTTCTGATCATCTTGGTCACTTGAAAAACAAATATAAGGGTGAGTACTCTACACTATCCAACACACGCAAACATAGAGACTCACCTCACACACTTCACATAATTTCTAACACATTCTACACAAGTATAATCAATCACAAACAACACTTTCCACGCATTCTATTTCAGTTCACAACTGATGCACTCACTACACCAACAACATTTTATACATATGTGTGTTCATTGCATGTAGCCACGCTCACTGTGGCACTGTGATTACAGTTTTACACCATGAATGCTCGCCAGTTACGCGGGCCTCACAGATACAATGTGTGTAGTCACGAGTCGCTCGGCAAAGGTGTTCGTTGGAGGTCTAGTCAAGAGGAGAGTGTACGACCAGTGGTGCACTCACGCTCATTGTTGGTGTCACCACCACCCTCTCTTCCTCAAAGTATTTCTACCGTCCCCATCTTTCACACCTCTAGTGTATCATTGAACCATTCACAACATATTCACAACTACATTTAGCATGTTTTTTCACACAAATTTTAGCCACATACAATATTCATATTCCACACGGCACAGAGGCCCACATTATTTCACAGCATACAACACATATGCTCATATTTCACCACACAAGGTTCAATTATACAGTTTTTATCATAATATCCCTACAACAATTTATTTCATCATACTCAATATTTCTCAATATCGATAGTACAGAGTTCCACACGATCTTTCCATTACAATTTCACAACAATCAATCAATTCTACCAAACACACACATTATAAACCATCCACATGACAATGCATAGTAAATTACTTGACATTCAAACACAATGAGATAGGGTAGAGTCCTCCTTTACCTTGAATTGAAGACGATTCTCTAAGATACTATTAAGAAAAGGGTAAAAAATACCTATAAAATCTATGATGAGTCCTCCATTTGACATAAGCCCGGCGGGATGTTTAAAGTATGTTGATCCATAAGGGCTATTGTTAGGCATGGCTGAGTTGTAAGTAGCAGCATTTCTAGTGTCACTTATAGAGTCACCAAAATTTTAGGCACTAACTTTTTTGAAGAAATTAATTGTTGTATTATTACATGACATTTTTTGTTTTATTAATCCAATTTTTGATCTTATAATTAATATCTAGTTTGAAAAATAGTCACTTATAAGAATAGAAAATGGGTTACTAATTTTCTTTACAACATCGGTCACTCTTTTGGTTAATAAATGATTAAGCAAACAATTTCTATTTTATTAATCTAATTTTTTGTCTCAAAATCAATCACTACTTATCAAAAAATTAGACATTAATTTTTTTCTACATAAATAGTAACAATAAAATTCTGATCACTATATGATAAAAAAATATTCTTAATAAGTAGCAAACTTTTAGTGTTACTTTTGCCAATTCAACCAGATTATAATCAAGTGATTAGGTAACTTTATATAACAAAAAAAAAGGCTGGACATATAAACTATTGAGTTGATTCTGAATTAGGGCAAACAGATCAATTCATCTAATTTTCTCAATAATGGTTATGACAAATGTGAAACATACTTGTTTTAGCATTGTTTCTAAAAGTCTCGTTACGTTTCTTATGCAATTTCAAATCAACTAACCTAAAATAGAGGGTCAGAATAGGTGTCTCTTTTAGTGATCTAAAAAGAATAAAAATATGACCAAATATGAAATTTTGCATGTAAGTTTGCATTTAAGAATATATTGAGACAACATGCATCTGCCTCTCATGCTTATAACAGTACTAATGAGACAACATGCAAGTCTTGATCCATGAGCATTCATTCTAAGTTATATTTTATTTTGATTGCACTTCTTTTGTGTGAGAAACTCCTCAATATCATATAAAATATTACATGAATAAAAGATACTGACATAACTTATTCTCATTAAAATATTTTTCAACAAAAGTCTTTTCTTAGCATATGCTTCAAATCACGCTATCTTTGAAATAGGGGATTTAAGAGAAGGATTTGCGAAAGGGCCCTCAACAAGTCCCTTTGCAATTTGCCTATATGCTGCTTCAGTAAAGTGCGCTCCATCCCAATTTATGTGTTTTGAAGGATCTGAACAAACGGTGGAGGCAATACTTCCACAAAATATATTTATATCAACATTGTATTGTTCACCTTTTCCACAACATGCTCTTAAAATCTCTTTCTTATCAGAAGAAAAACCTACATTACATAATTTGATGCTCACGATACAAATAAGTTGTAGTAAAATTGTAGTTATTGCTCATATAATGAAAGAAAATAAAAACACGACCTACCATATTGTTGCGGAGCCTGGAATAAACGTTTGGCAGCACCATAATAGTCAAAATATATTATGTTAACCTGTGGGTTCTTTTGTCTTAAAGTCTCTATGGCTTGTTTGAGTTGTCCATTATAATACTGAATGAAAGTATTGTAAGCAGTGAAGCACCCGAATTGATCAGTCCTTTATGTTATCTCTATCCATTATTGTCAAAACAGCAGAATTGCACCCAATTGGGAAGTTTCCTGGCACTGCTACCTCTACTGCTCCTTCTTCTATTATTTTCTAACAAATAGAAATAAATAAAAGCAAAATTCAATTTCTAATCAATCATGTTTCAAATCAAAGTCTAAATAAACTATCCATATTGAAGTAGACATTTCACTGATTAAATTTGAAATAAAGAACATACAATGGTGGTATTCGTTATTGCTTCAATAATTAGTGGAACCAATTCTTGAAGTTTTGTAATATTTTTATATGGTAGAAGTGCATTAATATCATTCCCACCAATCTCTCCGACCAGAAACAATGATTTCTTGAATAAATCTTTGCACTCTGTTATTGAAAGGAATAAAAGTTGTTAGATAGAATGAAAATTTTTCAATTATTTGATAGAAACTTTATGAAATGAATTTTAACAAAACCTTCTTTGTTTTGACAAAGGGAAGGTTTGATCTTCTTAAACCAATCAAGCTGAACATTTAATGAATAAGCAGCTGCCTCTGGTGTATTGATTTCCTTTTGTATGAAATGATCCTTACAAAGTGCAGTTGCACCAGCATATGCAAAATTTACTCCTTGCCTAATAATGTCTTGTCCTTTGGTGAGATTTAGGTAGGCTGGCAACATAGGTAACCCATATGCTTCAGCTACAATTAAAATGGATGTGAGTTAGTGATTTATTCAACAAAAGCCGGTGATTCTTTAGATATGTTGTTTTGACTCCCTGTCATGGAAAAAAAAGATTCTCTAAGATATTATCAAGAAAAGGGTAAAAAGTACCTATAAAATCTATGATGAGTCGTCCATTTGACATACGCCCAGAGGGATGTTTAAAGTATGTTGATCCATAAGGGCTATTGTTAGGCATGGCTGGGTTGTAAGTAGCAGCATTTCCAGTGTCACTTATAGAGTCACCAAAGTTGAAAATGGCTTCATATGAGAGAGGATTAGGCTGTGAAATAACATTTCTAAGAAAACTGCAAGCTAAGGTGATGCAAAAGAGAATGAAAAACCTCATGATATTTCTTTAAGCTAGGAAAGGGTGATGTGTGTATGATGATTGATACCAACAAGTTAGAATTGAGGTTTATATATTCTCACACAAACAATTGTTTTCTTTTGTCATACAACTGTCATTTTAATTTTAGCATGTTGTAACTATTATAATTCTAAATAGAATGAGTCATGAATTGTAATAGGCTATTTGTCTAATGCAAACATGTCATTAAGAATGGGTTTGTTAGTCCTCAATGTTATTATGTGTTATTAGTTACAGCTCTTTCTACCACTGTTGCACCATACTTCTCTACAATAAGTTTTGTAGTTAATAAATTAATAATGGTTGTAATAGTTTCTATAAATAAACGGGTAAAGGGTGTCTAGGGTGTCCCATCCCTATATAAACTATTTGAATTTAGTAGTTCCGATTGGCGTTAAGGTTATTATAATATATGATAATAAATCTTAATGACACTAAAAATCATGAATCTAAATATTTAATATTACAATAAACATATTTAGGTGACGAAAAAAAATTAGATTATTACTAAAAACTATTGAAGAATATTGTTTATTCAAGGGGCCAATAAATTAGTGAACAAAGTAAAAACGATTTCTTGTGCTAACATAAAATAGAAAAGACATTTCTTTTCTCCCTTTTGTACTTAAAAGAGTATTTTCTTTATATTAATTACTTTCAACCAATCAGAATGTGATTTCTTATGATAATAGCGATGACTTAAAATTGAAAAGATTATAATCAATTATACAATTCATTCATGTTCTTAGTCATAAAATGATTAAAATTAACTTATAATAGCGATTTAAAATTTATTATTTCATTTGTATGTTATAAGACCATAAGGGATAAAATAGATTAGGCTACACTAGACTTTGCATAAGTAGGTCTGACTTATTTAATAATTTTGAAACCTAAACGTGACCTATTACTTGTCATAGGCTTTTTTTTAAGTCTAGCCTAAGCTTTTTAAAAGCCTGATTTAACCTTTTAGTCTCTTTAATGACCTATTTCATATTGAGACATTCAATAGGTTATTAAGCTTTCTTATAAATAGACTATTAAATCATTTAAATAAGTATATTTTTTTAAAAGTCATAAGGCTTATATCTAAATAAATTATTAAAAAAATGAAACAAAATTACATATTCTTATTTATCACTTTTAAACCATATATTTAATTTAAATAAGTAAATCTCTACACATACAAAAAAATACAATAAAATGAACATCAATTTATAAATCATTAAGTATATCTAGTAGCATAAAGTCTTACACATTAAATCAACAAACACTATATAACTAAATAAGTTTCAGACTTAAAATTAGCAAATACACAAATAACAATATTTTTTCGTAGCATATGGGAAGAAACATATATGACATCAGATTTTCAAAGAGATCTCTTTATGTTATTCATCAACCTTTAAAATAAAGAAAAATATTATTAGAATAAAAATACTTTAAAAATAGTGATTACAAATATTTTTAAAAATACTTTCATAAGTTATTACGTTTGATTTTTTGTCAAATTATACTTCTAACGAAGTCAATTGAATTTTTATATATTATTATATTATAATTTTATATAAAATTATTTAATATATTATTATAAATTTTATGAATTTTAAATAAGTCATTCTAGCGGACATAATAGACTTTTTTCTAAGCTCAACTCTGGCCTATTTAATTAATTAAGCTTTTAAAAAGTCTAAATTAAGCCTATTAATTAAATAGGTTAGGCTTTAAAAAGGTTAGGTGCTTATTGGATAACTTAGCCTATTTTCATCCCTACATACAAAGTTCTAAATAATAAGATCAAATACAAGTAAGAATAAACACATAAAATAACCTCAAAATTTGGATATCTAATCAATTCTTGAGTTGTGTATGACAAATTCTCTCCAAGAAAAATGAATGTCACTGTGTGTTAGATTATTTTAATAATCTTATTATAGTGACCTATATAACTTATAGTACGATTTTAATTAATGATTTAATGTGATGGTGGTTAAATATAAAATATAAAGTCATTGAGAGTATAATTAAAAATATAATTATAAGAAAATCCTCCCCTCTCCCTTCAGATAAAATAAAAGAGCGTTATCAAATAGAGGTTATGGGTTCTTTATTACTTAGACTATCACTCTCATGGTCACACAGTAATTACAAAAAATGAACTTTCTCTCAATCATCATAGATAAGCTAAAAGAAGAAGAAAGAGTTAAAATAATACCAAGAGCTCAACAACATCAGAAAAGAGGTAACATCAAGAAATAATATATTCAAGTTAGGGCTCTTTAAACTCTTAATTGGGTAAGAATCATATATATTGTTGTGAGAACTAAGTAATTCAAGATCAATGAAAATATTAATTTCATAATAGTTACATCAAAGATAAAAATTTGATGGATAAAAATTTATAACTATGTGGTGCTATTAAATATGGAATACAAATGAAAGGGATGAAAAGTTATTGAAAATAATAGCTAAAAAATAAAGACCACAACTAAATGCATTGGCAAGCACAAGGTGATGTTGATAATATCAGAAATTCAAAGAACAACACAGAGTGATGTTTTGAATACTTGATATTTTAATTTTTATAACTAATAATTATTATATATTTACATTAAATTAAATAAAAACACATAGAGAGAAAAATGAAAACATATAGTCACATAGACATCTCCACTATCTTAGAAATGTATTTTATAGTAAGTTTTAATCTTACATAGTGTAAAATCATTTAAATTTTAAAATTTGTTAATTTTTTTTTTACCTTTTCAGCTTTTAAAATCATTTTATGTTCTAAATTCATTCTAATCCCATACAAATTTTAAACAAACATAAAAATTTGAAGGATTTAAGTTGAAGAAAATTAATAGAAAATAATATTTTTTATTTTAAAAAGAAAAAATTAATTAGTTAAAAAAATTTGAAAGACCAAATTTATGCATAATCCTAAGTTGTTAGATTAGCTTGTATTCGCCTGCTATGGTTGGCTGAATTGAAAGATTCAGGTTAAAATCATAAGGTTGATTTGTTTGAAAAATATTATGATTAAAAATAAAAAAAAATAATTTTATAACCCTGTTTTTCATACGCAATTTTGATAAACAACAAATATTATATCTTTATCAATAAATATATATATATATATATATATATATATAAAAGTTTATTTTTTTAAGTTATTGGACTTTTGGCTACATGTTTAGAATCTGATGCAAACTTGGTTTACCCATTTTCCAATACACGTTTTGTGAGAAATTAAAATTTTATAATTATTTGAAAATATTATCAGGTTTTTTTTACCAGAGCTTATTAAGTAATTTTTTTAATCATTGAAAAATAAAATTGTCAGTTTTTTTTTTTCTAGACCAGAAATATTTTCACTTGGAAGCTTTCAGTGAAGGCAATCTTATAAGAGGCAACAAATGCTCTCTTCAAATGACTCAGCTATATGCATAACAGTGATCAAATTTTACGGTGTTCCTTGAGGGTTTCCCCGATTCATTCATTAATGCTGGCGTATGTCTCCTCCCTCTATCAAATATAGTTTCTGTATAGCTGGTCACTAATGAATGACACCTCTACTTTACCTTGGTACATCAGTAAAACGTTAGCTGGAAAACCACTGCAACATGTTTGATAAAATGCCTCAGAGAAAACGGTTACCTTTTCTACAGTCATTGGTCTCATAACACACGTAACCGTACCAAGTTGGCGGTAATGGCTTGTAGATTTTGGGAGTTGGGAAAATCCCATTTCAGAGCCAACAAATCATCACCTTTCTACCTGAATTCAACGTTTTATCACCCTCCAAAGGACGTTTTGGACTTGCAGTGGTATCAGAATGAGTTTCCAAAGGTCACGGAGTTGGCCCATTTGCTTGCAAATGTGGATGCAATTAATGGGAGACTCGTTGATATAAATACCAATTCCACTGTTTTTGATGATAAAATGGAGCATGAGATGGGTACCTTCAAATCCCTTGTTCGGGTTTTTGTTGGCTCTCCATTTGTTCAGCACAAAATGAAACATATTCTGGCCTCCACCTCCACCACAAACATACAACAACATGAACCTTTCACCCCATTTGGCAAAGCAACTGAAAGAGAACCTTTGGTGGTTGATTCACTAACCAAAGTTAGCAACTTTCTCAGTGTTTCTGCTCAGCAAAGGAAGTTGATTCGTCTAAGAGTGTGCCCTCAGGTTACACAGCACCGTATATGGAGTGGTGCACTTAAAGAAGTTCTGAATAGTTTTGCTGTTGACTTGGATTGTTTGGGTTCTCGGGGATGGTTAAGCGAACGTGCTTTATTGGGTCACCAAATTGTTCATAGCTGCTCGAAGTGTCTGACTCAAACTGCTGTTTTTGCTGATCCTGAGTCTTCTTCTTGGATGAAGCTTTCACCTTCTAAAACAGTTGATTCGTCCGAGTCCCAGAAATGGGAAGATGTTCTCGTCATGTTCAATGATCTTATTGAGAATTGTAGAAGTGAAGCATGGTTGAAGTTGCGTGTAGCAAAGGCTGAGGTCATGAAAGAAGGGCTTTTGCAAATAAGGGACGTTGTAATGGACAACAGTGTTGGATATAAGGAAGCTCAACATCAAGAGAACCTGGTGAGAAAGAAGCTTTCCAAAACACTGGGTTACTCGTCGCGGTGCTTATTCACTCTGTTGCTGTATTACCTCTATGGAAGAGTTGCAGACATTGAGGTAGATATGTGTGGTGGTATATATGCAAATGGAAAGGATGGCGATTCTCGCTTGTTTATGGGAAGAATTTTGACTTCAGATAGTGAGAAAATGGTTGGGCGCAGTGTGAAGCAGCTGGACCGAGTGCTTGGGCTTTTCAAGTTTGTTTGGGAAATGGCTGGACTGAAGGGACATCTGGACTTACAGGGCCATATGTGGTGTGTTGGAGCAGGCACTAGGATGCTTAGGTATAGAGGAAACACATACTTTGTGCATGGCATTTGCCTTTGATTAGTGATTGTATCACAGTATCATTTAATCTTATTATTCTGGGTGCCAATTGAATTTCCTATGGCAACTCAAATTTGGGATGTGATAAAGTGCTTCATTTGATATCCATTTGTCTTTGTAATTCAGATTTGTTTGTGGGTCTGTGTTAAATAAATGGGATAATATGACACTGAAAAAATTATTTTCTTGGAAAAAAAATGAAATAGAAATTAATTTTACAGTTTATAGTATGATCTTTCTGTTGCTTCTGCTACCAGGAAAAGAAATTTGCAATTCCATATTATATCTTGACTTCATTGACTGTTCACCTAGGGATGCTTTTAGTATTATATTTTGAGAGGATGACTAAGAAAAATGAAAAGTTCTGATCTAATGACGCACTCAATATGCGTAAGAAAAGCTTTTTATGCACGCCATATTGAATACATTGCAGGTTGAAGTTTTACATACCACTAGGTATTTCTGTTGTAAATTAATGATATATTGAATATACAGCTTTTGTCCAGGGCTAGGATCTTTAATCTGCTCATTTATCTATGAAGATAATCAGCAACCAGGGAATGCAGAAATAAAGTCTATGCATGAAAATATTCAGTATAAACACCAGATGGAGTTCTTATTTATCTCCTTTCTGGTTTTGCATTTTTGTAGAAACGTAGTCATGATTTTTGGTTGGGTGGGCTGACTGTGAGTAGGATAGTTGAGATAATTTAGTGCAATAAACTACTGTAAACTGATTATGCTGAGTGTAATATTCAGATCAAGGTAGTCAAAATCGTGTTTTGGATCGTAGAATCATACGATTCTACGATTTCCATCCATGCTTCCGTGCTGAGTCGGTGCTGGGAATACGAAACGGTTGGATCGGTGGGATCGTTCGTGCTAGGTCGTAAACTCGTTGAAGACGTGCGATTCTGATGTGCAGAGGAATCAGAATAACTGGTGCATTATTTAAGGAATCAATAAATAGTACATTTTTCTTTTTTAAGGAAAAAAAATGTTAAAATGCATGTTTAGATGGATACAAGGATAAAAAGTAAAGGAAAATCTAACTTTGGATTTTTTCTTTATATGACAGAACTGTCTTGGCAAACAGAGTTGCTTCGTTCAGGTTTCTGAAAAAATGCTTGGACCTACTGGATGCAAAGTGCCACAGAATAGGCTTGCTGTCGAGGCTATTTGTGAATCAACAATCAACAGTTAAATATTACAAACTAGATTTTAGTATGTGCTAGGAGTATGTGTAGAATTTTCGAGAATAATAATAATGGTCTTTTGACCTCATAGATGTCATGATGTTTTGAATGGATTTGATAAATAAAATATCCTATTTAGTATTAAATGCTTTTATTATTTTCTTGGTCTTTTCCTGGTAAAATATGGTTTTGCTAACTATTAAAAATATCAGTTCATTTCGCTGTTGTATGTCTCATTGCATTTTACCAGATTTTCACTTTGTCAGCTCCAAAGCTGAAAACACTAAAATATACACACCATGTAACAACACCTAGCTGTGAGATATGATAAAAATTAGTCCTCACTGTATTGGGCCAAATATGCAGCGAACCTTGTATCCTTGATCACTAAAAAATTGAACAGGTTCCTACACCTCTGTACCCCATGGATTTGTGTCATGGTAAAACATCCTATGCAGGCCAAAACATAATGGAGGTATCTGAATATTACACTCAGCACAATCAGTTTACAGTAGTTTGTTGCACTAAATTATCTCAATTATCCTACTCACAGTTAGCCCACCCAACCAAAAATCGTGACTAAGTTTCTACAAAAAAGCAAAACCAAAAAGGAGATAAATAAGAACTCCATCCTGTGTATACACTGAATATTTTCATGCATAGACTTTATTTCTGCATTCCCTGGTTGCTGATTATCTTCATAGATAAATGAGCAGATTAAAGATCCTAGCCCTGGGCAGAAGCTGTGTATTCAATATATCATTAATTTACAACAAAAACACCTAGTAGTATGTAAAACTTCAACTTGCAGTGTATTCAATATGGCGTGCATAAAAAGCTTTTCTTACGCATATTGAGTGCGTCATTAGATCAAAACTTTTCATTTTTCCTAGTCATCCTCTCAAACTTTAATACTAAAAGTATCCCTAGGTGAACAGTCAATGAAGTCAAGATATAATATGAAATTGTAAATTTCTTTTACTAGTAGCAGAAGCAACAGAAAGATCATTCTATAAACTGTAAAATTAATTTATGTTTCATTTTTTTTCCAAGAAAATAATTTTTTCAGTGTCATATTATCCCATTTATAATGGAGGTATCTGAATATGATATCACAAATTCACAAATACTCAAGATTTCATTCATTCAATTTTTTCACTACATCACAATTTATGTCATGCTCTTTATATAGTCAAACTAAATGATTAAAATAATATATAAAATTAAATAACATAATTGCGAAGCATACATGGTAAAAGTTAAGTTTTTGTCAAGGAACTTGGTTATTCAAAATTCAATTTGAAATTAAACATTTGCTAACTAGAGCCACAACATTTGACCATCTTTTATCTTCTAAAAACTTCATGAATCTTCACATGTCAAGCTTTAATGTTTAACTTGAATTTCTTAACCTTGGAATTATTTGATAAATAATGTTGAGTTGTCGTAAACTAAACTTGGTTTTATTTTCTAATAGAATATTACACTCAACACAATCAGTTTACAGTAGTTTGTTGCACTAAATTATCTCAACTATCCTACTCACAGTCAGCCCACCCAACCAAAAATCATGACACTCTCTACAAAAGAGCAAAACCAGAAAGGAGATAAACAAGAACTCCATCCTATGTTTACACTGAATATTTTCATGCATAGACTTTATTTTTGCATTCCCTAGTTGCTGATTATCTTCATAATTAAATGAGCAAATTAAAATCCCAGCCTTAGGCAGAAGCTTTGTATTCAATATATCATTAATTTACATCAGAAACACCTAGTGGTATGTAAAACTTCAATCTGTAGTGTATTCAATATGGCGTGTGTAAAATGCTTTGAAATGTCTGAAATGTATGTTGAGAAAGCATATGATTATCGTCCAACAAGTTTAATGAATGTACTGGATGTAATATAACCTTATTGTTGAGATATGTCAAAAAATGATGAATGTGTCATCGATAATTTGTTGAATGATATGATTATTGAAATCATGAGTAAGTGATGAGCAATATGGAAATAGTCTAAGTGCTAATAAGCATGATTTTATGATTGGATGATGGAATGAATATGAGAGTTGAATGGGTTGGTGTAAATAGTTATAGAGATACACTAGAGTATAGAGTCCAGAGACAATAAGGAAATCTTAGGAAAATGTAGGGCAGTGAGCGACATTTGCAATTATGCGCATATTATTGTTGAGTGGGAATACGCCACAAGACCTCACACTCGTTTCCCGGCTAGACTCCTGACTATGCCTTTATAAAGGGTTCGTGATTGCATACGTTGTATCTGTATTGCATGAATTAACTGACAAATATTTACATGATTGAGTAAGACCTCGAGAACTGATGGAGGCATCGAATGACTAAGATCACAGTGCACTAAAAGTGCGTATTTAGAAATGGAATGATAAGAATATAATTAAATTGTGTGAATTTATATGTTAGGAAGAGAATAATTGATATGTGATATGAAGTGATGATTATTGCATATTTATAATTATTATGATAAGTGATATGGTGGAATTGTGTTATGTTGGAAAGGTAGAATAGTTGTTCATCCTTACACTACTCTGTATGTAGTAAAGATGATAACACACCCTGTGCAAATTGATATAGTGGATGTCTATGCTAGTAGTAGATTAAATTATGTATTCAGGGAATATAGACGTGTTGTACATTTACATCTTAAAGTATATTTTGAAAATGATGGAGAATACACATTATAAGTAATCTATAATTATGCAGTTCCTTTTAATTTTCCAACCAGTGGTCAAATTCATCAATCTCTTAGTTTTTATCTATTCCAAAGAATAGAAAGGTCTTCTCGGATCATGAATCATATATTTATTTATCATGATCATAATTTGTTACGAAAACCTAATAGTTATACATTTGAAAGATTCCCTAGTATAGAATTAGTGGCGGACTTTGGTGATGCCTATCTTGGCGAGAATGATGAATTAGCAGTTGAGGACTTGATGAAAATTAAGAGTTGGCATGACATAGATGATTAGTTTCAGGTCCTCAGTATATGAGAATGAGTATGACTGGTCTAAATTTTAATATGTTATAGATAATGATATATAAATATTAAATTGTAATATATTTCATGCAATTATCTTAAATTTTTTTTGTATATGAATTTACTGTTATGGGAGGTTTTATTTTTGTAAATTTAATTAATGGTTATACGGAAATGTTTATTATTCTTTCTAAGATTTTATCAAAATGAATATATTTAAAATGTAGAAATGTAGGGTGTTATAAGATAGAATGAGGTTTGTCATATAGTTCTTGTCCTGTATTCACCAGATCCATCAATAGCTTTCAAAAACATAGGATCGGAATCACATGCTGCCAAAAAGTTAATTAGTGGTCTTCTCTGTGCATCAGTCCAACCATCACTAACTATGCTCACACCTTTTCTAGCTAACTGTTTTTCATAGGTTGGAGTAACTTTACTATGTTAGTCTTTTTCTTTTGCAAAAGTAAAGTTCTTATAGCATTGTAATCTGGTGGAAGAAAACTTAAGATCTGAGTGTTAGCAGCAAATGTGTAGGAACTAACAAAGTATGGATTTACAAGCGATATTGAATAACAAACTGACTGAATAAAACATTCTAGCAATTTCACAAGTTAAGTGATCTTTAACCTCATTGTTAAACGCCCTTTTCAATGGTCCTCCTCTTCTTCTCTTGCTCCCATCCACAGGTGGATTCAAACTTGTTATTCCAGTAGTTAAAGGCATTTGCACAGGTTTAGCTTTCTCAATGGCCATTCTCTCAACTTGTTTCATTTCTTTAAT